GATGAACAAGAGTGAGTTATACAAAAGGAGGTTGTGGAGATAGGCAGGGGTGAGATTCTGTAAGAACTGTAGGTCTTGTTAAGGACCTTTGGATTTTATTTTAAATTCATAAATTATTTAAATTTGTAAGACTTTAGCAGAGGATTTATGTAATCCTGTTTAAGTTCTAAATTCTAGGTTCTAAGTCCTAATGATTACTGGGTGTAAGAAATAGGAAGATTAATTAGGAAACCATTTGAAATAGTCTAAGTGGAAGAGGATAATTGCTTAAATCTGGGTATCGGCATCAATTTAGAAAAAAAGTGGACAGATATGAAGTCTGTATTAGTATTAGAAATGGCAAGATTTTGTGATGTATTGAATGTGGAGGATGAGAAAGGGTAAAGTGTTGAGGAAGACCCATGGGTTCCTTTTCAAAAAACTTGATGAATGGAAATAATATTGGTATTATAAAGACACTAACATGACATCACGCTTAAGGGGCAGGTAGGAGCAGTTTTGGTTGTCTTAATTTGACATTCTCAATATGTCTGAAAAGGAAGTTAATTCCGAAACTGAAAAGAAATTAATTCTAGATAATGTCGTTAGTTAGGTTTTGATTAGTAATTTACTATACAAAGAAACAATGTGATGATGCCTTAAATAGGTGAGTATATTTTATGCTTTTCATTTAATAAATGTTAAAGGATTAACTAAAGTGGAAACTTCCTAGGCAATTATTATAGAAGGAAAGGATTAATTTTATTTCTTAGAAAACTGAACATTAGAAAGATTAAAGAAGTGTAGGGATTTAATATCTGATTCATATAATAGCCATAACTTGTTTCATGGGGGAATAAAAGGATTCAATTTCATAGCTCTGTTTTGAAGCAAATTATTTGAAGCATTACCTTTTTTTTTAAAGATGTACATAGTTTCTAGAATATGGTTTAGTTATTAAGTGGAGGTGTTTAAAAACATCACAAGGGTGTTTTAGTCTGTATACATTACCTGAATATTATACTGAATACTTATTTTTATCTTCTGTTCTTTATCTTTATGTCTATCTTTGTTATTCTAAAAAAAAGCAAAATTAAAATTTTTGGATACAATAGTTCATTTTTTTTTTCCTTTTGAAGACATATCTGAAAGTGAAGTAGGAAAAAAGTCTGTTACTTCTTTGCAAAACTCTACTTCTTTATATTCTCTCGCTTCCTGACTAATTCCAGTTTGGCATAATTACTTCATTACTCAGACTGTGTGCACGTGACTTCCAGTTTTTTAATTTTTACCTGTTCTCTGTGTTTACTCAGGTAATTCCCTTTTTATTCATAGTCATTTTAGCACTAAGTGGGTGAAAGTGGAGAATGGGTGATAATATTATTCATGTTGCTGTGCACTCCCACGGTGCTAAACCCCAGGTCATAGTTCCTCCCCTGGATGGCTGCTTAGAGGCCTTGCATTCTCCTTGTATGAAAAGAATCTAAACATTCGATAAGAGAAATGAAATGATCTTTACTTCTGAAGTTCCTTTTCACTGTTTAAATTTTTCTGTTCTTTTTTTTTTGGATCTAGAGTAATATTCCTGATTAGACAAAATAAATAAGTTTATTAACAGACTGAAAACTATCTAAAGACAACTGATAAAATGTCATCTCCGGAGTAAGCTTTAGCCATTGGTAGAGATGGAGGCTAGCTTACTTTTAAGAAAAAGAAGAGAAAATAATTGCTGCTTTTTTAGCATCAATAAGATTTTGCGGTAATAGTCATATGTCTAAGGTTCCAAATACTTTTCTGAATTCAGAGTTATATTTGAGGTTTAGGATTTCATGGTAGGATGTACATTTATTTTATAACTAAACTTAGAAATTGGACAAATTAAAGCAGGAAATTATATTTCCCAGAACAAGTATTGAAAAAGTACAGAAGAGACAGTACTGTTTTTATAGATAAAAACTGCTAAAAGCTAATTAGCACTGCAAAGGGCATTGGCAACTGGTGATAATATACTCCAGTGATCTGAAGGCCAGGAAACAGCAAGGTTGACACTATCATTTTATATTAGATTTAAATTTCCTTTTTTGTAGGCTATTTTTGAGCATTCATTTCAGCATACAGAAATACTTACCTAAGATGTCCTTCTGGTCTCTGAAAAACATGAATGACCTCAAATCTCTTGGCAGTCAAACCCCCTAGAGTAGGTCAAGGAAAAGCTTATTTTAGGTAATTTACAAAAATTGAAATAATGTAGGTGTTGGCCAATGAAAACTGTAACCATGTTTCTTCCTAAACAACATTTTAAACTCACATTTCTATATGAAAGGAGATAGTATGTTCAATGCAATAGGACTGTCCAATAAAATATAATGTTAGCCACAAATAGTTAAAAAAATTTTAGTAGCCATGTTAAAAAAAATAAAAATAGGTGAGATTAACTTTAATAGTAATTTTACTTAAGCTGATATATTCAAAATATTTACAATGTAACTAATATAAAAATTATTGAGGTATTTCATGTGTTTATTTTTTATACTAATTCTTTGAAATCTAGTGTGTATTTTGCACTTAAACAGCAAATCTCAGTTTGGACTAGTCACATTTCAAGCGCTCATGTGGCTAATGGCTACCATATTGGATAATGCCATTTGAGAACAAGTGTTTTCTTTCCTACACATCCAAGTGGATCTCAGGGACTGTCACTGACTGACTCATTTTAGAAATGAAGGCCATACATTTTTAATCTTTTTAGGAAGGGATTGTAGCAGTGTGATTAATACTCCTGCATAATTCTAGCAGCAACTAAGCAGTCAGGATCTTGAAGAACACTTTGACATGCCTCCATTTCTGTGAGCATGTGTTATGATTGTTTTAAGAATACTATATCCTTGATTTGTGGAGAATGGAAGTGTCAATTTCATGTTTTATAGAAAAATAAACCCTGAGGAATTTTACTTTTCAAAATATAAGGTGTGGCTTTTTACTCTTATTATTTTGTGATTTTCTAATGTAAACATTTTTCAAAAACCAACAATTTGCTTCTATAATACTTTGAAAGGCTAGAATCCTAGTCCTTTCATCATAAGCCTTTTCTGTCTGCAATAATTTGCAATAAATACAAGTACTGATACTCATTGTCATTGGTTTCTCCTTAAAGACATTTCAAACCATTTAAACAAAATACCATTATTACAAACTCTAGAATCAATGACATTATGTCAGAAGATTTATTTTTGCATCCTTCAATTGTATTTACTGTTCTGAATTTGTGGGTTTCCTAAAAATAGGTACATTTATAGAAGAGGTTAGATTTTAATAACAAAAATCTCCTCTTAAATGAATTCTGGTTTATGCAGTTTGTGGACTAAATGAATTAGGCTCTAAACTTTTGTCTGAATCTATGGAGCTTGGATATAAATTGAAAAGATCACAGCTTTGGGGAGAAGACCTGTACTGCAAAGGCCTTTCTGCATAGATTATGAACATCATAACTCAATAATTTTTTCAAAACTATGGTTATAATTGGACCCAATGGGGGTCTCTTTCTTTGATCAGATCACAGTAACTGTGACTTTACACTGGAAAATGTCACAACTGTGAAGGTTTATCACCTGTAGAGTTGGTCTTTCCTCTGATGCTGTGTTCATTTCTCATTAGCATTATTCAAAGTTTAGTTGTTAATTAGGTTGACACTTCAATTATAATCATCATCTACAAGAATAGTCAGGACTGCTTGCATAAGGAAATAAAAATATTCCCTCTTATATATATATATATATAGAGAGAGAGAGAGAGAGAGAGAGAGAGGGAGGAGAAATAACATTATTTTGTTATATGGTAGTTTCATAAGGATATAAACATGCTGTTAAAGGAGATACCCAACCAAAATTTGTTCCATCAGTTTTTTTTTTCCTTAAGAAAACAGAATTGTTACATGACTACACATTTTCCATGTTAAGCATTGATAGAGTGTATATGAGGATCAGTATTTTTCAGCCAATTGGTCAAGTTAGCTGGATGTATAGATGTCACATCTCCTCCCCCTGAAAAAAATACAGGATACATCAGGAGAGTGATATCATAAATATTCATCTAAATAGGGACCATTGAGAAATAATATGCATTCTCTAAAATGCATAAAACATGGAACTAAAGTATGGAACAGGTATGTAAAATTATAACAAATTAAAATGCCTTTTTACTTTTGTAAAAGATAAGTTTTTTTGGTTTAAAAATATTAATATTTTAATCTAATTACTGACTCATAAGGCAATGACATTAAACCCTAACCTAGCAAGTGATACTGGGAAAAACTAGATACAGCCAAGTTTAAATGACAGGTCTACCACTTATGAACCAAATAGTGAAGACAAATCAATTCACATTTTTGAGCCTCATTTCTTTATTCATAAAGGGGAATGCAAATGCCTGTTTTAGAAGACTGTTGTGAGGATTAAATGAGACAGTGTATAAAATTAACTTAACATATCCTAGATGCATAGTAGGTCTTTTATAACTTTTAGCCCTTTTAAATCTAATGTAGTGAAAACTATTCAACAAACGACTGGAAATTTACATATGTAAATTAGGCTTCCCAAAATAAAATTAAATGATAAGTGATCCTGGAGGACCTATAACAAATAACCTTACATTGCAGAAATGAACGATACCCAACCGGCTTCATCTCAAAACAAGTAGACACATGTTGTAATCGCTAAAAATCTGCAGAAAAGTGGCTCACAAGCACTTTACTGTAAAATAATTAAAGCTTATTTATGTCAAGAGGCCTTGGGAAAAAAAAGAGAGCATAAACCAATTTGCATTAGCACGTTACTATCATCTCCTGCTTTCGTTTCAATTAACAGACCAGCAGGTGCTCTCTGCAGTTAAAAAGATAAGCTATCAGGGAGGAGGATGAGTTTTTGGCTGACCTGCAGACACTGTGGTTTGCCTGCTGATTGGGTTCGTACCTCGCTGTACCAATTTCTGAGGTGTTAATTTAACTGTTCCTCTCTGTCATGCAGGTCTCGGCCTTGAAAAATAAACTGAAGAAGCAGTCTACAGCTACGGGTGATGGAGTAGCTAGGGCCTTTCTTAGGGCACAGGCTGCTTTGTTTGGATCCTACAGAGATGCACTGAGATACAAACCTGTAAGCATTTTATTTCATCACTATTTTAATTTCCTTTTGGTTCTTTTGAATGAAGCAGAAAAGAAGAATCATTTTAATATTACAGCTTAAAAAAAGTATCATGAAGGTCTTTTAAAATCCAAAATAATGTGCTTTAAAGCATTGTCCCATCTTCAATATTTCTTGACTTTCTGCTTTTAGTTCTATGAACCTTTAGTTATTAATTCCAGCACTTTTGCATCTCACCTTATTCATTATTCTAAAAATTGGAAATTTGTCCCTTTTTAAGTAAATGTAGTTAACACATTTTAAAACATTTGCCTAATTTTAAGACCATTAAGAAATAAACTAGGCAATTGGATTTGTTAATGATGATCTAGTTTAGTACTAAATGAAAGTCTAAAAAATTAAATGTGAAAATTTGCAGTATTTGTTTGCTTCCTAATTCATAACAACTGTCAAAAGTGGGCTTATCTACTTAGCATAGCATAGCTCATTTTGCCATTTCTCTTTTAATACTCTGAAAATAATTATGTAGAATTGTGTAGAATTTTATACTACTCTTCAGTGACCAAATGAGTAAGTTAAAATTGATTTAAAAAAAAATCAGTAATAACTAAGTAATAAGGAGAATCTATCTAAAAGGAATTCCATCTTTATTAAGCTGCATAACTATGGCACATTTTCTTAGCTTTTCTATCTTAGTATATGTAGAATGAGAATTCTTATACCTTCCCTATCTACTTTTGAAGGTTGGGATATATACCCTATAGCAAATATGAACCACTAAACAAATGTGAGCTCTTGTAGCGTAATGTCTAAAGCACTTGACTGCTAACCAGAAGCCTGGCAGTTCAAACCCACCAGCCACACCTTGGAAGGAAAGTTGGGCAATCTACTCTCATAGTAATACTGCCTCGGAAACCCAAGGAGTCAGGTCCTACTGGACCGCACATAACAACAACAACAAACAAATGTGAATGGAGTGTATATCCTTTGTAAATTGACTTCTGAATTAGTGATTTCTATCTAGTGGTTGTTACACCTCTGAGGGGTTATGGAGCTATTGCACCAAACCAAAACCAAACCCACTGCTGTCTCACCAGTTCCAACTCCTAGCAACCATGTAAAACAGAGTAGAACTGCCTCAAAGGCTCTCCAAGGCTGTAATGTTTATGGAAGCAGACTGCCACATCATCTCTCATTGAGCTATTGGTGGGCTCCAGTCGGGCTCACCTTTCAGTTAGCTGGTGAGTGCTTCATCACTGTGCCACCAGGGCTCCTGAGTTATTGCAAGGTTCCTTCAATCCATGAGCAAATCCACTTCAGAATCTATGTATAGTTTAAATGGTAATCTTTTTGAATTGCATATATAGTGAAGGATATTACAGAACTCACAGTACTTACTGTATATAATATATGTATTTCATATGGGAGAGTCTTTAAAAATTGTTGACAGTTAGAAGAGTCTCATCTGTAAAAGACTGAGAACTAATCATCCATTCTGCAGTAGAATATATTCATAATCAAATTATTCAACATCAATTAAAACATAATAAAAATAAATTTGAAAGATAAAAATCATGTTTGATTTTAGTTCAGGATTTTTTCAAAATAGATTGATTTCAAGTTTACAGTACAGTAAGGAAAGTTAGAAATATCACTTTGTTAGAATTTTGCCATGTTTAAATATTCTTCATAAACTAATTTTTCATTTTCCTTTTTAAATTTGTGAAAGACTTCAGATTTGAGCAAATGAGATAATTGAAATGAAAATTTTCTTATATTATTTAAATTATCAATGCGTTATATGCAAGTTGAAATTATAAAATATCCCAATTTTACATTTATTCTATGGCTTTTAGAGTTTTAACGTTCTTCCTCTTGGAGCATAAATAGATGTTGTTGTTCTGTGCCGTCGAGTGAGACCCCTCCTTGGGTTTCCAAGGCGGTATCACTACGGAAGTAGATTGCCCAACCTTCTTTCCTAGGAGTAGCTGGCGGGTTTGAACCGCCAGCCTTCTGGTTAGCAGTCAAATGCCTTAGACACTACGCCACCAGAGCTCCCATTTAAGTAGATAAGTAGATAGAGATAGGTTTAGAAAGTTTTTGGTAACTTTGAATATTTTTTTCATATCTTGAAAGCCAGATTCCTAGTGTCAGTGGAAAGTATATAATTTGATCATTGAATATCTGTCCTTCTGGTCCATCAAACTAAAAAAATCCCCACTGCCATTGGTAAATTCTGACTCACAGTGACCCCATACGCTAGGGTAGAACTACCCTATAGGATTTCTAAGCCTGTAAATCTTTACAAAAGCCGACTGTCTCATCTTTCTTCCAAGGAGCGGCTGGTGGGTTTGAACTGTCAACCTTTGCTAAATGCTTTCACCACTACCCTGCCAGAGTGCTCTTGTTATGTCACCAGAAGGCTGGCAGTTCAAACCCACCAGCCACTCCTCAGAAGGAAGGTTGGGCAATCCTACTTCCGTAGTGATACTGCCTCGGAAACCCAAGGAGGGGTCGCTATGAGTCGGGCCGACTCTATGGCACATAACAACAACAACAAGAAGGAGCTCTGGTAGCATAGTGGCTAAAGCACTTGCCTGCTAACCAGAAGGCTGGCGGTTCAAACCCACCAGCCACTCCTCAGAAGGAAGGTTGAGCAATCCTACTTCCGTAGTGATACTGCCTCGGAAACCCAAGGAGGGGTCGCTATGAGTCAGGGCTGACTCGACGGCACATAACAACAACATATTTCTTTTGGTTTTATTTTTAAATGAAAATGGAACTTTCAAAGTATATGGAATATATATTTTTCTATTTCCTTATTTTCAAAATAATAGTTTTAAGAAAAATTATGTTTATTTATTGTGTATAAAATAGTTCTTTTGTTGATTTAGCCAATATTGTTACAAATTACCCTGCATCATAATTTATCAAAATTGTGTTTATTTCTTTTATATTAAGAATCATTTTGGTCATTTATATAATAGGCATGTATTTTTGCAATATTTTCTGATTAAATAGAATAGTTACAACTATATATTTTTGTTCTCTTTTCATAAATATATTTCATCAGTACACTCTAGCTATTATAGTATAATTGGAAAGGGGGAAATATGTTTGAATGGATATGAAATCTTTAAATATATATATGTATATATATATATATACACTTAATTTTATGATTGTTTATACACATGAAAATGAATAATTTTTTCCTCTTACATTGGAAAAAGAAATCAAGTCTGTTCATCAGAGTCTTAGAGGCCAGTGCTTTCACTTGGCATTCAAGGCCCTACACAATGGCTAGTCTCCTTTCTTTTACTTTTCTTTAAATTTTTGTCTGAGTTCAGAGAATTCTGCCAAATGCTCCAAATGTCCCAACCATCTCAGGATTTATAGATAATATTCTTTATTTTTGGAAGTCCTTTTGTTTCTCATCCCTTTAATGGCCTTCTTAGTTTCTTCTTGATCCTTCTTAGATTCTTCTGATTCATCCTCTTCCCTCCAACCTTCTAATTGTTCTCTTTCCTTTTTTTCTCAATTCCTCAAGCAGTAACAATGAATATATTATATGAAAAGGAAGCTTTGGCTTGTCTAAGTATATATATTCTCCATAGCAAATCATCGAAAGTAGAAATCCCTGGTAAAACACTTTAATGTGTAGGAATATACTTCTTATTCTGTTTATTTAGATATAATTGTGGATATAATTTCTTCATTTTACAAATAATTGTTGAGCACCACTATACTAGACTTTCTCTATGGCTTGTGGACAGAAAAATAAATATTAAGTCCTTGTTCTCTGAGAGCTCATAGTGATAGAGACTGATGTAGTCATTTCTTGCATAGTGGTAATAAAGAAAATGATGTTAGAAAATGATAAAAGAAAATTGAGTTTATTAACCTATGAGAAACAGAGAAGAACCTGAGCATCTAGTGGATATATACATTTTTCTGAGGAAAGCATCCATAGCTTTTATCATGTTCTCAAAGAAGAAAAGGGCTCAGAACAAATTAAGATTCACTCTTCTAGAGATATGCAGAACCATATCATAAAGGGCCTTTCTGTATTGATCTGGAGACTTTTAACTTTATCCTATAGTTAATGATCAGTCATTAAAAGTATTTTTCATGGAATGACATACTCAGAATTGTGTATTAGAAAGATCACTTTGAGGGCAATGTTCATGCTAGGTCAGAGGAGGGCAAGCCAGGAACAGTGTGGCAGGTGTGACTATTAGAGTCTTACTTGAGAGAGAGGAAGGAGGGGCCTCATTGTGTAGTCTCATTGGCCAGGAGGCACATATCTGAAAGATATTAGGAAGGAAGACAGTAGTATTGGGGAAACAGTTGGATGGCGATTGTGAGGAAAAGCCTTCCTAGATGTTTTGTGTATTCACATACTACTGAATACTGACAAAGAGTAACGTCTTTTATAAATGAAGCACTTTGAATGTAGTGGCAACCCTAAATACATTACTCTTCTCAGGTTGCCTAATTTACACATTTTAAATGACACACTGGTAAGATTGATAAAGTAAATTGTACCTGCTCTTAATTACAGAGAAAAATATAAAACTAATTAAAGTTGTTGGAAAGCAGTTTAAATAAAGTAATGGATGTTTTGCTCTTTTTCCCCACTTTATAGCTAGCATCAAGTTAGCTATCTCTTAGAATTAAAAAATGTGAGATCAAACTAAATTTAAGAAGAGTGATAAGAAGAGCACAGACTTGAACCACAGTGCCTGGGTTTAAATCCTCATTTGATGACTAATTGGACCATGGTTAAATTAACTTCTTAATACCTTTGTTTCCTCATTTATAAAATATTAAATACCTCTTGGGCTCTTTAGAGCAAAAATAAGTTAATACATGTGAGTTACTTAGAACAGTACCTGGTGTATAATAAATAGTCTAGGTTAGCTATTATTTAAAATGACATTTTAGAAGTAATAAATATGGTAAGGAAAATGTCTTCAGTATAACCAAAAAAAAAAAAAAAAAAAGCACCA